TTGCATGCTTACTGTCTGTCTTCCTTGGAAGGTAAATTCTGCAAGGAAAGGAATCTTTCATGTGTATTTATTTTTGAGTGAGAGAAAGAGACAGAGTGTGAGCAGGGGAGGGGCAGAGAGAGAGGAAGACACAGAATCCGAAGCAGGCTCCAGGCTCCACGTTGTCAGCACACAGCCCAATACGGGGTCGAACTCACGAACCGCGAGATCGTGACGTGAGCCGGTCACGATCCTGAGTCGTGACCTGAGTCCGGTCACCTGAGCCGGACACCCAGGCGTCCCTGCAAGGACAGGAATTTTGACCGTCTTGGTCACTGTGTGTCCCGGAACCTAAGACAATGCCTAGCACATAGTAAGCCCCGAGTGAATGCGTAGGGAATGTGCTGGAAGCTAACTCACCTGACCAGTACTTAACCGTGAATGGGTGCTCCTACCTCCATTTCTGGCTTCATCTTCACAAGGGCCCAAGAAGGGGAGAGTGTTACAGAGGGGGAGACTGAGGCACAGCCTCGGTGTCTTTCACTATGGTTCGGGCACAGCATGGAGGGGTCTGGGTTTGGTCTCCGGCCGACCCCACTCTCCCCAGCACTGTGGAGGCTGGCACATGTACAAATTGGCAACACCCACGCCCACGCATCCCCCTGGCCCCGGACCCCTCTCCCTCCACTGCTCGGGCACCTTGGGCAGGGTCCTGGACGGTCCTCTGCCACCAGACTGCCAGTGTAGTGTTCCTCTGGGGACAGATGGATCGGCCGCCCTTGGCTTCCCTGGCCTCCTGCCGAGGGCTCCCCCGCTGATGAGACACCGGGGACCCCATTCAGGGCCCGCATGGGCACGATCTGGAATGCAGGGTAGTCAGGCCCTCCTGGGGCAGGACTGTGAGCCCTGGGGACAGGAAGCTGATGGGTGAAGTGTTCTGCCCTCCTCCTCGCCCGGCAGACAGTCCCAATTCGCAGTTTGGATGGCTTCTTGGAACCAGTTCAGGCATCGCGCAGCAACCCTCGGCTCAGCCCTCCCTCTGCCCCAGCACTCCTGCTTCCGGGTCCTCTCACCCCAAGAAGGAAATAACCCGCAAGCTTTGCCCCAGGCTCTGCCTTCCGGGAACCCAGGCAGAGGTGACAAACCCCAGCAGACCCCTCCCCAGCTTCAGGCCTCCAGCACCCACCCCCTGACAGCTGAGAGGATCCCTCCCTTCACACCCCGACCCCAGCCTGAGAGCCAACGCAGAGGTACCAGCACTCGGGATCCAGCTCTGCCCACAGCTCTGCCGTCAGCTCCCGCCTCCTGCCCCCGCTTCAGTTTCCTGACACTCTGCCAATTTTGCCTCTGAGCCTCAGCGCACACGGTTCCCTTTGCAGGCATGCCCTTCCCTCGAAAGCAGCAATCGATTCATCCTTAAATAACAGCCGCGGCCGTTGGAGAAATAGCGCGAACAACAACAACAGCTCTGGGCATTTGGGCAGATTGTGGGCCAGGGCCATCACTCAACGCAACTGACTGTGCCAGGAGTATGTTCTTAGTCCCATTGTACAGATGGGAAAGAAGAGGCTGAGAAGGAAGCCCCTAACCAAGGTCACAGGCCGGATTCGACCTAGAAGCCGGGGCATTTCCGGGCTCACTGGCGGGCGCCTAACTCCCAGCCCCCAAAGCCTAGTTAAGTGTACCCCGCCCCCACCCAGAGCAGAGGCCTCAGCTCCACAGGCTGTATGAAAAGCTCCCTTGAGGGACGCCTGGGGGGCTCAATTAAGCGACTCAGTTTTTTTTTTTTTTTAATGTTTATTTATTTGGGGTGGGAGGGAGAGGAGGGACAGAGAGAGAGGGAGACAGAGGATCTGAAGCGGGCTCTGGGCTGACAGCAGAGACCCCGATGCGGGGCTTGAACTCGTGAACCGTGGGATCATGACCTGAGCTGAAGTTGGATGCTTAACCGACTGAGCCACCCAGGCGCCCATGCAACTCTTGATCTTGGCTCAGGTCGTAATCTCTCGGTTTGTGGGTTTGAGCCCCACATCGGGCTCTGTGCTGGCAGTGTGGAGTCTGCTTGGGATTCTCTCTCTCTCTCTCTCTCTCTCTCTCTCTCAAAATAAATAAATAAACTCAAAAGAAAAGAAAAAGAACCTCCTTCAGTCAGAGCCCCTGACCTGAGCAGAGGTAATTATTTATGTCTGTGCCTGGCACCCTCTGCCCCCGGTCCCACCATGGGCTCAGCGGGCCAAGGTCTGGACCGACTCGGCTCTGGGTCCCTAGAGGCCTTGGGGGGTGCTCCTCCCGCGGCCGGACACTCCCCTCCTCACCGGCAGGGCCAGGCGGGGTTCCGACAGGTGGCAAGCCGCCCTCATGGATGTGTGTTCAGGCTCTGGGCCAGGGGCTCCTCCCTCCCTTGGAACCATCATGGTCACACCACGGCCTTGTCCTCCCGGCACCTCTACTGCTACTGTGAGGCTAAGGGCCACTTGGCCACGTATGCTTGGAAGTCTCTGGTCAGTCGCTGTCCCAGGGCTCACAGGGTTTCCCACGTCCCACTCAGCCGACGAGTGGGCGAGACAGCCAGGCCCAGGCCTCCGCGTGTGATCGTCTCTCACACGGTTGCCCTGGAGCCCCCTGTGACTCCAGCAGGCAGCCGTGGGTGGGCCAGGGAGGGTCTGTCCGCACACACGCCTCATTTAATTTTTGCGAGGTAGGGTCACTGTGACTTCTAGCATGTAGGCGACGAACTGAGGCTCAAAGAAGGCTACGTGCCAAGAAGTGGTCACGCCATGGCTCAGACCCAGCCCTCCTGATGCCCACAGCGGGGCTCTTTCCGGATTAGTCAGCACCGTTTCATTCAGCAAGCGTTTACGGGACGCTGACTGCATGCCAGGCACCATCCTCAGCTCTAGGGATACAATGAGGAGCGGAACGGACTTCTGGAAGCCGATCTGGGTGCCCTCTGCTCACCAAAGCCCAGCCCAGAGCTAGAGAGGGAGCACTGGGGGGCCTCTGGGAGCCAGGCTGGAACTTCAGCGTCCATTCATGGACACGGGGCCTGGCCAGCCCTTCCTCGTGGCCTACATACTCTTACAGAGCAAACCTGGTGCTCAGACCTGAGGAATCCACAAGCAGGACGTGACAGGAGGGTGTAGTGGTTGCTGTCCACAGGGACAACCAGCAACTGGCCTCCCGGGGTCAGTGGAAGGGGCAGCAGAAAACCCAAGCAAAGCCCATCGGGTGTCACACCGTTCAGCTGCCTGCGCCATTCAGCCCAGGAGCAGACGGCCCGCCCACCTTGCTGCCCCGAGGTCGCCCTGTGCGGCTGCTGAGGCTCACGACTCACGGTCCTGAGTCCCAAGGGTTCCTTATGTCCGCCACCTACTGCTTAGGAAGGCCGGGTCTGTGTACACAGTGCTCTCTAGGGAGGGTATTCCTTCCTTTCCCATTTCCTCATCTGGCAAACTCGTCTTCGTGACTCCAGACCCAACTGAAAAGTCTTCTCTGGCTCCTCCGTCCTCCCAGGGCCCTGACTCCCCCACCCTGGCCCCCTGTGGACCCTCCCGCGGCCCTCCACTCAGCATCGCCAAAATGTAACTTTGTAGCTTTGGGCTGAGCTCTCCACGGGGTCGTCTGTCACCTCCCGGTTGTCAGAGATGCCTCAGCTGGCCTGCCTGGCCGGGACTTTATGTTCTCTTTGTATGTCCACCTACCCCACAGGCTATGGGACCTTCCAGGGAAGGGGCCCGAGGGCCCAGCACACAGTGGGGCTTCAAGAAAACAGGCAGTATGACAAAGTCAGTAAGAGAAGGGCTTTGGA